GTTTACATATTTTTGGTAAAATCCTGCTCTAAGTGGGTTGCTCTGTCAGCTAAAGACATGTTTTAGAGTCTCTATACTCTAGTTAACTATTAACCAATTACTAAATTAGTTGACAATTATTCTAATAATCACAATTAATCCGATTGTTTCAGCAATATACCTGACTAACAGACAGTTTGCCTCTGACTACCGTCTTTTTGCTAAAATCAGATGCTTGCAGTGTAGATTCAGGCATTTTATAAAAATTAATACATGATTTTATTAAGTAGAGTTAATTGTGTTGCAATTTAAAAACATTTTATGACAGGGAGGTTAATTATTGGAGAGAGTTTCAGATACATGTGACCCGCCCCACAGTTAGCCCGCCGCCACGGTTCTAAAACTCCCCGCCATCGCCTTATCTTCATACCAAATTTCTACCGTTGGTATAAATAGCACATGAAAATGAATTCATTAACTGAATTTTGTATTTATGAAGATTAAACTTTAGGTAAATGTAGATCTGTTTCACTAATCCACTCCTTAGGCTTCCATACCTCAGGGTCAAATTCATCTACTTCTCCTCAAAACGAATAAACTAGATAACTGTGATTCTACTCGCTGCAAACACTTCATGTTATATTTTTATGTTTGTTGTGAAACATTATTGTTTTACAGTATTTCTCACAGCTTGGATTTCTTTGCCCTTTAAATGAAGGTCACCTCCCAGCGGGAATGATTGAAAAAAAAAAGCTCGTTTTTGAAAGCGCAATGTGGCTTTTTTATATTTTTATTATGAAACCTAAGTGGGTGGGAAAAAAAATTAGATTTGTCAGATTTGGTAGGAAAAATAAAAATCAGACAGATTCCTAAACCTTATCTCTCTAATTAAATCTTTGTTTATGTTGGCATGTTGTGTGATCATAACATTAAAAGGTAGAAAACCCTGCATCTAATAAGTATATAGAATCCAAAAGCATTCAGGGAGTCATTTTATTTCCTTTAAAATGTGCTCAAAGTAAAACTTTGTCTCAATCTTAGTAATTCAGTTCATTTTGGATTCCAGAAAAAAAGGAATCTAAAGATGAGATACTGAAACCGTTGATATTTACTACCAAATATTTGTCTGTGATCTTTTAAATCACCCCCCGACATACGCACTGCTTTGGCCCGTCACGGCAATCAGTCCAGTTAATGCTCTCGCCTAAATAAGCTTTGATCTCGTTAGTGCGACACAAAGCCTCTTTACTGCCAACGATAGGACAAATCGGCTCTACGAATCAGAGGGAGCGACGCAGGCAAAGAGGGAGAGTTAGAAAACGGACTCCTGCTTCATCCGCGTGGACCACAGCGATGCCTCAAGGGGAAACATCAATACAGCCATCATGGATTGGGGTGGGGTGATGGGAGATGGACTGAGAAATGGAGAGATAATCAAAAATGGCAGAGGGAGCGGTGGGATAACGGAGAGAAAGTGTGGATGGAGGTGGGAGGGGTTGGAAATCCACCTCATCGGTACAGAGAGCCTCCGAATCAGGAGTCAATTAGCAAGTTGGAAATATGCCTGCGGGGGGGGGGGACAAATCAGAGGACATGCAGGGGGAGGGGGGAGGAGAGCAGGAGCAACAATAGGAGGAGGCTGCATTCTCATCTATTATTACAGCGTTGATTTACAGGCAGGCTGGAAGGTCAGCGCTCTCCTGCATCCCTCAGTGGGAATCCTGCAGTAATTGTTAGGGGGCATTTGGCTCCTGGAGCACGTCACCCACCCAGAACTCATCTCCTCCATCCTGACGGAGAACTTACGCCCCAATCGGCAGCCTAACCCCCTTCAAAGTCATTTTTTTCTCCTTTTTATTTATCCTCCATAAAGTGCCTCTCATTTTCATTCTGCTCCCCACTGCTTATCTCTCCCTCAGCCGATGCCATTTCTGTCATCCATCACTTTCCTCTCATCCTCTTATCATGATTCCTCATGGATGGGAGCTAATGGCCCTGGGTTTTCTTTTGCCGTTCTTTATACGGCCCCTCCAACATCTTCCAGTTCCCAAACACGGCCCTGCCAGCGTCTTTTCCTCTCCTTATTTGGAGCATTTCTACCAACCTGCCATTCCTCAGACTATGAATCCTCTCTGAAACATTATCCATCTACAGCTCCTTTTGTCCATCACCTGTCATCTATTCAGCGGATCACCTGTTTCATTAAGCCATATTTTCCTCCGTAGTCTCTGTATCCCGCATAAAACGGAGAAACCATCTTCCCAGAGACACAGATTCACATTCCCATCTGACTCCATTTCAAATACTTAATAAATGTCAGCAGGTTCAACAATAAAACGTATCAGTTTATGTCTTAAAGCTCTTTATCCAAACCTTTCTCAATTTCCAATAACATGCATACTATTGTTTGAAGTGTTTATAGACTAAATATTGTAGTAGCTCTTTGTTTTGAACCAATATATGATTTAAAACATTAAACACAACCTGAAAAAATTTGATATTTGAACAGCTTCTCAGCCATTCAAGTCAATCAAGGCACAAATTTAAGCTTCTAATCTGTTCTCTGATTCGTAAAAATCTAGACTACGTGCAAAATGTTGTTAATCATCAATTAAAATGCTTATTGTGCAAATATATGTTTCCCCCCTGAATTCTTTTTAAGAACAAAGTTAATCAGACAGGTATGGAATGTTATCAGGCATCTGGTTCCAGTTTTATAACAGGGTCAACATAAGAATAACGAGATGATCCTTTAGTTTCTACACCAGTATTTCATTAGGAAGGAAATCCAAAAACAAACGTTAGGAAAAAAAGAGGGAAAAGCAATCTAAACAACAATGAGCAGCAAAAGGCGCTGAGGGTCAGCACTGTTACCCTATGCTCTACTCAGCCAAGAAGAAAATAAATAAAAAATCACAGTGGCATCTGATATAGGGGACTTTAGAAAGTAGATTTAAAACAAGTGTTTGCAGCTTTGAACTTAAAAGTTCATATAAGGTGAGACGTTCCTAAAAGTCAGGTTAGGGCTTATTACCCTGCTTTTTTCCTCTTTTATTTGCATGTTGATGCACCTTTATTATTCATTATGCCGTCTGTTTTTTAAAAATAGTTAAATACCTGCAGAGGTTCTGTACAGCTAACCTTTAAATCTGTTAGTTCAATACAGTTATGCAAAATGGTCATAAAAATCACAATTGTGGAAGCAGAATCAGTTCCAGTCAGATTCGTCTGGGCAAAAAAAAAAGGAAGAGCCTTTTTTACAAGCAGCTGCCCAGCAGTGTGCAGCAATAAGCGTTTGAGGAGCTGAGGCCGATACTGACTGCGGCAACTTTATTCAAAGGACTTCTAACCGCAGGAGTGACTGAAAATATTTCCCCTTCTCAATTCCAAACCCTAAAGGACGATTAATGCTTCTGACGCATGGCCTCTGCGACCACGCCCCCGCGCAGAGGTTCTGCTACCGTCGTCGCTGTGATTGGTCCTTGGTATGCCTTTCCGGCTGTCGGTGTGGTCGTCCTTCTCGATCGGGTGCCGGTGCGAGCCATTTTTAAAAACCGAGGAACAACTACAATGGATTCTGAAAAAGTTAAAAAAACAAAACAATCCACTGGACTTTTTTTCCAAGGTTTGAAGATGTTTCGCTTCCCATCCAGGAAGCGTTCTCAATTGAAAATGTCTGGATTCGCAATGAGTTTGAGGCTTTATATAGTGGACCAAAAAAAAAACCAAGGCCTTGTATTAATTAGAAACATGCCTAATTGAACCTGACAAGCGGGTCTTTGGGTCCATTAATAGCTAACTGGATGATTGAGAATTTTACCAGCAAACTACAATGGACAACTACGACGAAAGGTTGATCGGTCTTTTTGCCAACTCCATAAACAGAACCTGTTCCTCTTCAATGTCTAGCAACTCTAGATCTATCACCGTGACCGTGATATCTTCCAGATGCGCCATCGTTGTTCTGGAAGATAAACACTTCCGCCAGCGCCGAAGTTCTCGCGAGTTCTAAAATAGGCTCCCCCTTGCGCTTTGGAGGGAAACTGCAGTGCGTCCCTAGAAATTCCAGCCCGACGTTGCAGAAGCACACCAGCAAAACTGGTTCGCGTCCAGACCCAAGCGACATTTGATGTGTGCGGTTGCAGAAGTATAGTCCACCCTTAACTCTTAAAAACTTCTGCGGTCTTTAAACCCAGCAGCCGACCTCCGCCCACATTTGAAAGAAACTTCAACTCCTTCGGGTTCGTTTACCAGAAGATGGACCTACAGTTTCCACTACTTTCTCAGACTCTGCCGCCTCGTCCTATTGGTCAGAGACGCTTCAAGATGTAGGTGTAAAATATTACACATATAAATGCTGCAGTGCATTTTTGGAATAAACAGCAACAGATCCAGGGAGGATGAGTGAGAGGTGATTCCAGAGAAGCACCAATGCTCTGCTGTCTCAGCTGTGGAGTCATAGACCTGTGTTAAGGAGCCCCCCCTTTTTGGTTCAAGCCTCCAGCAAAAACCTTCTGCTCTTTGTCTTTCAGTGGGGTGACCCCTCCCCCAATCCTGTCTGTCTTCCCCTCTCTTAACACCTAGCCAGATTAAAGGAAAAGTGGGGGGGAGTGATTAATGGCACATTCCTAACAGGATCATCATTATAGGTATTTGTTGTCTATGTGAATAAAAAACAATATTTACAGCAGCTTGCAGCATGTGATGGAGCAGTGAGACAGGCATGATGAATGGCCCTGATCTTTGCTGTGCTGCTGTCTGTCACAGCAATGGAGCCTGGATCATATTACCTTTGTCTGGGTTTGCTCCCTCACTCAGCTCACAACAAAAGAACATTTAGATTTTGCAATTCTTCTTTGTTAAATTAAAGAAACAACCCATCTAGCTGCAGATTTCTTCATGTTAATGAGAAATCGGCCTTTTTAAAACCCCCATGTGCATTGATGCTTCTGATGTTTAATGGGGAAACTGATGCAAAGAATAAAGAGAAACATGCCTTTGTGTTTCCATGGCTCACATACCTGTCCGATGTCACCGGAGCCGTCTATCCGGGGTCTCTTGCATTCCGCCCCGGCCAGGTCAGTCAGGGCAGCGGCGGTCTGAGCGTCCGGCTCCGGGTCACCGCGCTTCATCCCCCGGACAACCGCGGCTCCTGCGGCCGCGTTCGGATGCGCTCCGGCGGCCGCCGTCTCAATATCGCGGTCCATGATTCCCCGATTAACGGGCAGCATTAAAGATGCAACGTCGGTCGACATTAACATTGGACGGAGGGGGTGGAGGGGGGGTCTAAAGATCTAAAGTCTGCTTCTCTTTTCTGTTTCTTCTCCTATAATCCTTTGTTTTCTCCTTCGCTGCTTGGTATTCACAAAAACACCCGGATAATATAGAGCAGATTTAATCAATATGGAAAAGCTCGCTCTGTTTATTGTCTAACTTGGCGTTGGCTGTTAAATAAAAACCAAAATGGCCATTTTAGAATCTATAAACAGCAGCTAAAAAAAGGTAGAATTTTCCAAAAAGGAAAAAAAGTGAAATGACGCCAAACAGTGACCTATTTATTATTTTTTTTTAATAAAGATCACACGTCCGACTCTCGGGTTCCCTGACAAGCTAATTAGCTAGCTACCATTAGCTAGCTGGTTAGCAATACATTCCGCTAGCTCTCCTTATAAATGAGGCTCCGAGAGCCGCAAAGAATGGAAAAATGTTGGAAATTAGCTGAGAGTGAAAGTAGTCCGCGTGCGGCGCCACTCAGTTCTCTGTGCTCTCTTCCTCCGCTGGATGTGCTTCTGCATTAAACTCCTCCGCGGGTCCTATCAGTCTCCGCTGCCTGCTTGTCCGTCCCCTCGCCGTGGTCTGCTGTGGATGAGCCGACCTGCTGCTGCCGACGGAACACGATTTCCTCTGGTCTGAGTCCCAAAAAGCTGGTAGTGTGGACGGAAGACACGGTCCGCCGATCTGAGATCAGCTTTCTGTGGTTACACAGTGAAAGTAAGGGAGGCTGAAAAGAGACTGGCTGGTCTGAGGTCTGCGTTTCACCCCAACCCGCTTCTCCCTTTACCACCACCCCCACCTCATGGCTCCATCCTCCTCCATGATTATAAGAAACTGTTAGAGAAATAAAACAAAGATGGTTGTCTCTCAATTATTTATTTATTTTTTTACACATAGAGACACAAAAAAGTTTATTCAGAATAAATTAAACAACACATCAAAATATATAAAAAAAATTTGTATAAAAAATGTATTATACATTTTTTTATACTATATATTAATATAGTATTTATAATATTGCAGTAGGTAAAAAATAAAATTATCCTAACTTAAATAATACATTACGCACTACACTTTTTATTAAAGCAACAGTGACCTTTTCTCTCAATTTTATAATTTACCCGAACTAATTTTGTGACCTAAAAAATCCGCCTCAAATAAATGTTGAGGATCATAACAGGATAGTGTGATATGTAATTAAACTTAAAAAAGTAAATAGTTTTTTGTTTTTTTTTCCCCATTCTTTAATATCATTTCAAATTATAATTAATAATAATAAAAAAAAATTATATTCAAATATATGCAAAAATAAGTGAAAAATGACCGATGACTGCTATTCTTTTAACAATACAGCTATGATAGATAATGGGATTTAATCAAAAAACGAATAAACAAGTTATCAGGCTGCCTGTTTTTCTTTTTCTTTTTCTTTTTTTTTTTTTCTGATTTTTAACATGTAATATCTTTGATTGTATTCATAATACCTTAATAGATAAATAGACCGGATGGCCCATTCTGTTTGACCTTAATTCTTTAATTATCAATAATGTTATAGTATGAATAATATATTGTTGTGTTTTTGTCACACCTCAAACCTAGGTTTTCTAAATAAATAAACCAGATTGAAAACTATTTGACTTTCACTGCCAGGGGTTGGCAAACTTCACTTTTTTAAGGTTATGGCACCCCCTAGTGGTGGTTAAATGATACATACCAATGGTAATCATTTTGTGACTTAACCTCTGTACATGCACGGCTCTCCTTATACAGCAGTACTATTGTTAAGACCTCTGTGCTAAAATAAAAGAAAGTTTTTACACAAAATGATTTGCTGCAGAATAAATAGAGATAATTGTGTTGATGGTTTTTAAAAACATACTTGGGATTTAAAATTTCATATCAGTTTCCTTTACCCGCCTTTAAACTGAATGGTTAGGGTCAAGCATTTTGAGTTTTCGTCCTCAAGCTTTGCCTAATAAGTCCCTAAAATATCACGGCCTATCCCCTCACACAGAGGTGGGGTAACTGACTCACAGGTTTGCTCTCTGCCCTGCTCCAAGTCTTTTATGGTACTGAGATGAGGGGTTTTTGATAGCCACTCCTAAATATCAATGTTGCTGTCTTCAAGCCATTCTCTGACTGATTTAACAGTTAACCAGCTGTAATGGCCATCTGGACGACCCATTTATGTATAACCTTTAATTTTCTGAGATATTGCCTCAGTATTTCAACATAATCTTTCCTCAAAATGTCATCTATTTTTAGAAGAGCACCAGTCCTTCATACAACAAAACTCCTTTATAACACAATGCAGCCATCCCTGCGTTTGGACATAGCTTCTCTCTTTGCCTTTAAATGTAGAGAATGTCATTATGGACAAACATGCGGGTTTATGTTCCTGAATGTTTTTGCACACTGTAATCAGACTATGTTGCATTTTGAGTAACAGATTCTTCCTCCTTTAGATTAGATTAGATTAGATTAGATTAGATTCAACTTTATTGTCATTACACAGGTACAGGTACAAGGCAACGAAATGCAGTCTAGGTCTAACCAGAAGTGCAATAGCAGCAAGTGCAGGATAAATAATGGTTCCATAAATATAAGACATGGGTTTCTACTGAATGAGTATAGAGATGAATACCATTAGAAATAATGAATATAATATATAGATCACTAGTGTTATGAACTAAATTTACAGCTGGATATATACCGAATATAATATACAGGTGGATATTACTAAAAAAAAGGGTTTTTACAGTTATGTACCATAGCATATATACAAATGGGTTTATAATAAAGTTTGGACAGAAGCTATCTAAATTAAAGTGCAGTGGATGGTTATTGCATATTACAGTTAAAGTACGTTATTGCAATTGTATATGTAAATAATTGGTACTGTGAATAAACAGTCGGCAGTGCAAATATAAGCAGTCAGCAGTGCAAATCAATGTTCAGTCAAAGTGAGTAGTGCAAGATGCATGTAAACAGTTGTTACATAGTAACAGTCAGGAGTGCAGGTGAACATTACAGTCTTGTAAAAAAACAGAACAGCAAAACGGTGGTAGGTGTGAGGAAGGAGAGGAGAGTCTATCAGTGAGGGTTAGAGTTCAGTAAAGAGACAGCTCTGGGGAAAAAGCTGTTCTTTAGTCTGCTGGTTCTGGTCCGGAGGCACCTGAGACGCCTGCCGGAGGGCAGGAGAGAGAACAGTCTGTGGGCTGGGTGAGATGAGTCCTTAAGAATGCTGCGGGCTCGTAGGCAGCGTTTCTTCTGGATGTGCTCAATGGTGGGTAGTGAGGTTCCAGTGATGTGCTGGGCAGCTTTCACCACCCGCTGCAGTGCCTTGCTCTCTGCAACAGAACAGCTTCCATACCACACTGTTGCACAGTTGGTCAGGATGCTTTCTATTGCAAAGCGATAGAAGTTCACCAGGATAGTTGAGGGGAGCTGATTCTTCCTCAGTGTTCTCAGGAAGAAGAGGTGCTGGTGAGCCTTCTTGGCCAGGCAGGAGGTGTTGGTTGACCAGGACATTTCCGCTGAGATTTGAGTCCCCACAAACTAGAAACTGGAGACACGTTCAACAGCTATTCCATTGATGTGGATGGTGTCGTGAGTGCCTGTTGAATCTTTTCTGAAGTCTATGATGAGCTCTTTCCAGCCCATATAAGACTTTTTGTACTGGCAGTAGTAAAACTATCTGACCATATCAAGTGGGCATCCAAACAAGATCTTTTTGCTTTTGTTTTGGGGTTGATACTTTCATTTTAAACCATTATCATTAATACATTTTTTTCTAAACAGCACGATTGGCGGACATTTCCATGGTGTTTATACTTGCATATAATATCTTCATATCTTCAACAACCTAAAAAATGTGACTTCAGATCAGAAATTTACAAAAGCCTAATCATCATCTGTTCTACTAAATAGCATGTATAGCGATCCAATTGAATATCAACTGTTGAAACGCCTGCTGTCACTCTTTCTCTTTATACTGACTTAAAAACATGGATCTAATTGAGCTAATTGTTGCAAACTTAAGTGGCCTAAAATCCAAAAAAATGGTTTTATCCAGATTAAAGGTTGCTATTAAATGAAGATAATATGTTAATACTTTGTTAATATTTCAAAAGCTGGTTCTCAAATCTTGGAGCATAACAGCATTTGGACCTCAGAAGGAGGCGAAACAAGTAGAGCCTCATCTTAAAAATATTTGAGTATGGGGATTGTCTTTTCCAACCATGTGGAACATCTGTTTAAACAGCATAAAGCTGTCTTTGATCTGACGTAAAAGCTTGCACAAACAACACTCCTGAATGTCCTGGAGGCACATCATCGACACAAATGAAGCTTCCTCAGCTCTCTGTGACCTGAACACAATATTTCACAGAATCTTACATAACAGCTGCCCCCATATCGCTGTTGTCTGATGTCTGCAGCCTGGAGCGGGTTCAATTGTTGCTCATCACATCCGTTCCTCTTTACTTTTTCTTAAGTTGGTTTAGATATTGGGTAAAAAAAGCACTTTCTCCAAATTAATGTAGGAAAAAAAGTGCAACAGGCGACACAGCTTTAACAAAAAGAAGCTACTCTTGAATTACTCCTAATTTATTTCCTAAAGGATTAACTGTATGCTCTATTCTTGTGAGTTTATATCTATTAAATCTGTTTCTACTTTAGTGACCTTTCCCACTCTTTAATCGTGTGAAACCTGTTTTGATTTTTTTGTTTTCATATTTGATTTTCCGGTAAAATAAGATTATTATATAGCAGCACATCTATTTTCATAAAATAACACCTTCGTATTATTCTCTGGGGATAACACTGGGGATAACATGAGACGACTGTTTAGAGTAGAGCTGCAACTAACGAGTCATTGATTTGAAAATTGATTAATCTGTCAGTTATTTTTTCATTTTATGAATAGAAAGAAGGTTCCTCAACACATTTTTAAGAAATTAAACTAAAACTTTCACACTTGAGGAGTTCTTGATGGATCATATTGACAGATGATAAGTTTTTTTTATCTATCTATCTATCTATCTATCTATCTATCTGTCTGTCTGTCTGTCTGTCTGTCTGTCTGTCTAACAAATCTTCTGGCAAAACAAATCAAAGTTTAAATCTTCAGAATTTAAAATCTGTCAAAAACTGCTGGGATTCACTGAAACAACTTGATCCCCTCAACTGTTTTGTCATTTTTGATGTCATCAACCTAATCACACTCTTAGCAAAGGTAGCAGCATTTTTTTCCCTTACAAGATCCTGAAATGTTTTTTATTGCGAACGAACATTTGTTTGTGGAAAACAAACAATAAGAATTCTGTTTTTCTTAGTTTTGTTCAGGCAGCTACTCTATTTTCTGTATTTTTAAGTTTTCGTATACACCTCATGGGTTTAAAAAAAATAAACAGGAAACAAAAAGAA